TTACAAGATTCTCGTCGCCTTCAAAAAGTCGATTATTTCTAATGTCCATATAGTATTATAGATAGTTTTGGGTGTAGTCTATAGTTTCTATAGCTGCATTGATTTCATCAAAGAACACTAGACTCTCAACTAGTAGCTCCATTACTTACTACTTTAATTTCTTATGAGGTGAGGCAACGAGACGAAGTAAGACGACAAGACGAGGTGAGGTGAGATGCGTCGCCTTTGAAAAAAATAAAGATGCAACATTTAGAACATAATACATTAATTTTTTAATTAACCACAACTGCAGATCTCCATTTTAAAAAGTTTTCGACATTAACGATGACACAACTTTTCCTATGTTTTTTATTTGCTGGACAATGAATGGCTTTACTGCTTAAGGTTTGTTAAGTACTCTAGTAATGAAGCAGACAAAGATAGATTTAGGAACAAAGCTATAGAATTTGTGGAATGTATAAAATCATAATCTGCACAATGAGTGGCTTTACTACTTAAGGTTTTTTTTCTTCTACTGTAATTTAATGAAACCTTAACTTCCATTGCTAGATGAAGTTGTGGACTGTATAAAAGTATAATATGTTCTCATTTGAATCATTGTGAATGCTTCGGCAATTAGTTCTAGAAGTGGTTTGCACACACAACAGATTTCTACCCAGTTTTTACTCATTTAATTTATTTTAGCCCTGTTTTTGTTTATTCCAGCCCTTCTTGCAGCTTTTCCTATTTTCTTTCTAATTCATTTTAAATGGATTTTTTCTGTCTTCTTGCAGATTTTGTTGATGTTTATGATAACAGTTGATGAAGATTGAAACTTTAAATTTATGCGCAACTTTTGTTCATTCTTCAGTCAAGATGCAAGTTTGGAAGAAGATGCCCAAGCTCATTTTTAAGTTTGCTACAAATGTTATGAAAGATTTGATACGATAGTTTAGCTTAGGATGTTGGCTATGTTTAAAGCAAATTGAAACTAAAATTACGGGATCACAGACTCTGTCTCTATCTTTCTGTCTTTGTCTACTATATATATATATATATAGATTATATATATATATATATCTTTTTTGTATCGAGATATTTAATAGCAATTTGATATTTGTTGATGAATTTGTATTCTTGTGATATTAATTATTGTGGGACCATTGGTGGTCAAACAAAGAGTAGAATAATTGCTCGTCTCTAATGGTCAATCTAGGACTAGAAATGTTGCTCGTATCTAATGCATAATCCAGGACTAGAAATGATGTTCGTCTCTAAAGCTTTTCTAGGACCAGGACATTGATGGTCGCTAAAACTATTTCTACGACCAGTTGTTGATGGTCTCTAAAAAGTTTTAACGACTTGAGAACAAAACTTTCCCAAGAAAACTATGGTCTATTTGAGACCAGAAATGTAGTCTCTAAAAGGATTTAGAGACCAGATTTTCTTCCCGTCCCAAAATCATTTAGCAGCCAGATTTTAGAACTCATCGTTGTTAACCAATAGCGACAGAGGCTATTAGGACGAGTGGCGACCAGCTTTTTCAGGTCTCAAATGCACATTTGGGACCAGATTTGGTCTTTTAGGGACCATATTTCCCATCCTTAGAGGCTATTTTTCTTGTAGTGTAAGGTCTAAGAATTCTAGTTGTAATGTTGTGATTAAACTAGATATGTCTAAGGCTTATGATAAATTGTCTTGGAGTTTTCTAACCTCTGTTCTCAGGAAAATGGGCTTTGCCGAGGCATTTATTGAAATGGTTTATAGACTTATGTCCAACAATTGGTATTCTGTGATCATTAATGGAGTTCGATATGGTTTCTTCAAATCTTCTAGGGGACTAAAACAGGGTGACCCCTTATCTCCTGCTCTGTTTGTTATTGCTGCTGAAACTTTTTCTAGAGCTTTGAATTACTTACATTTTAATGATAAGTTCATTGGTTTCTCTATGCATAAAAGAGGTCCCCAAATTAATCACCTTAGTTATGCAGATGACTTAGTCTTGTTCACTTCTGGTGATAAGTACTCCATTAAGTTGATTATGAAACTTTTGTACAAGTACCAATTGGCTTCTGGTCAAGAGGTTAACAGGGACAAAAGTTTTTTTCTGACCCACCATAAAACAGATAATCTTCTTAACAGAAGGATTAAAAGATGGACTGGGTTTACTCAATCCTCTTTCCCCTTTAATTATTTAGGTTGTCCTATATATACTGGTGCTAAGAAAATTTGTTATTTCTCTGATATTTCCAAAAAGATTCTTAACAAGATTGCAGGTTGGCAAGGAAGGTTACTTTCCTCAGGAGGTAAAGCTGTAATAATTAAGCATATTCTTCAATCTCAAACTTTGCATATTTTTGCTTCTTTGATGCCTCCAAGCACTGTTATCAAAGAGATAGAAATGCAGTTTGCTAATTTTTTTTGGGGACAGAGAGATGGAAAAAATAGCTATCATTGGGCTTCATGGAAAAACATGTGTTTTCCTACCAAGGAAGGTGGTTTGGGATTTAAAAGCTTAATAGATATCTATCACACCTTCTCAGCTAAAAGGTGGTGGAGATTGAGGACAGAACCTTCTCTTTGGTCTCTTTTTTTAAAAGCTAAGTATTGCCAAAGGAGTAATCCAAACTCTAAGGTAATTGCTACTAAAGATTCCATCGCTTGGAAGGACTTGCTTTGCATGAGAGACAAGATGGAACAACACATCATATGGAAGATCAAATCAGGTAATAGTATGTTCTGGTGGGATAATTGGACTCAGGTAAATTCTATTTTTCACATAATTAATCCAAATCCCAAACCTGATAATGTCAAGGTTAACACCTACATCACTAACCATCAATGGGACTTGGACCATATTCAATATCCCATACCAATAGAAACCTTGAACTTAATCAAAGGTACTCCAATTGGCAATAGAGACACAAATGATAAAGCTATCTGGAAATTAAGTAATAATGGTTATTTCTCTTGTTCTACAGCCTTTGAAAATCTGAGGGAAAAAAATGTTGCTTCTCCAATATACAATTATATATGGATAAAGGAAATCCCTTTTAAGGCATCCTTTCTTATGTGGAGAATTTTGAGGAACAAACTTCCTATTGATTACTCAATGTCCAGATTTAATATAAATGCAAATTCATCTCCGAGTTGTTCTTGTTGCAGGATTGCCCAACATGAAACTAATGATCATTTGTTTGCAGTTAGTGACATGGCCAGGCAAACTTGGTCCCAGATATCTAGACCACTTGGTTTCAATATCACAGGAAACACAGTCAACTCAATTGTGTGGCATTGGTGGAGGCAACATCCAAAAAACAACCTTCACAAATATATTTTTCTCATCACTCCTATTATTGCATGTTGGGAAATCTGGAAAGCCAAATGTATACAGAGATATGAAAAGAAAAAAGTTACTGCTTCTAACATATGCTTTCAAATTCTTTTTCAGGTTAAAACAGCTATCAAAAAGAAGTTCAAATTTATAGATTACACCTGGAATTGGAGCAAAGTATGTCTTATGGAGGAAAACTTTAAAGCAATAATCACAAGCAGCATGATATACTGGAACAGGCCAAATGGAAATAATTGGAAGCTCAACACCGGTGGGAGTTACATGAGAAACCAAAACAAAGCTGGAGCCGGAGGAATTGTTAGAAATAGTATTGGGGACATGATTATAGCTTTCTCATACCCTACTCAATGCTACACTAACAATTATAGCGAGGCTCAAGCAGATTTGATTGGTATCTCTTGGTGTCTTGGTCAACAATTTGAAGCTTTGGAGGTAGAACTGGATTCTCAAGTTGTGGTTCGAATGATTAATGGGAGTTGTAAACCACCTTGGAGAATCCACAACCTTATTGAAGACATCAAGAATAAGATTGCTCAAAGAAACATAATAGTAAAACATTGTTACAGGGAAGGAAATGAAGTTGCAGATGCTCTTGCTAAGTACGCTACTACTATACAAGAGCCGATCATTTACTTTCAGGAGTCTAAACTTCCGGCCGAGGTTAGGGGTCTTTTAAGAATGAATAAACTTCACTTGCCTTCCTTTAGGAGAAGACCAAAAAAGGCCTCTTTCTGGCACTACGACCCTCCATAATTCATTTCATTGCTTGTTTCTTCCGTGTGCTACATTCTAGGTGTTTTATTTGGGTGCATCACATGGGAGATTAATGACTTAAGATCCTTTTCTGATCATAATCTCTATTAGGATGTTTTTTGTATTCTATGATGTAAAAGGAGGTAAGGCTCGATGTCCCCCTCCAACTTATGTATTTTTATATATATGTAGTGAAATGGATATGGTAAAAAAAAAAAAAAAGCCCCCTTTTACTTACCAATTTGTTTTTATATATGGGCTAAGTGGTAGGGTTTTAAATAGTATAAATTATAGGAACCACATATGATAACTTATGGATTTAGCCCATTAGTTACAAACTAAATTAATTATCTAAAAATTACCTGTCAATTAATTAACTATAGTTAAATAGATAGTTTCAAAATTCTCAACCCAATTTCATCGACTGATCAAAATGACTCGAGGCAACTATGATAGGGGTAAAACGGTAATTTCATAAAAAAATTCAAAAATAATTCTTTGGGTCATTACATCGACATTTTCCTCTCATAAATAACGACGGTTCGGGTCGTTACAAATATTCCAATAAAATGTACAAAGTGACATCAAAATCTATTGTTAAATACTTGTTTAGTGCTATATAAACAAAACAAAAAAATTACTAAGGAAATATATCTTGACATATTGATTAAGAATGTACTATCCCCCATATAATAGATTGTAGATGTTAAATTTGTTAAGTTTCATTTCAATCGTCATCTCAAAACGATCTTCATAATTAATATATAATTAAAAAATAAAGTGATCATATTACGTTTGGGCATAGAGAGAACATATATAATTGATTCAAAAAGTAATTCTTTAACAATTATTTCAAAGACCACGCGAAGCGCGGCCAAATTCCCTTGTAAAACTCATAAATTAAAATGTGGGATTAATGATTGAGTGGTTTGTAAATGACTTCATCAATGTAATTCTTCATTTCCTCTGGAAATTTATATTCATCACCATGTGAATAAGTGAAACAAATCATTTTGCTTGACCACCAAATTATTTCTTTGCATAATTGAGGCAATTGGCTTCCCTTTTTTTGAACTAAAACCATTTTCAACAACTGCCTTCTATTACTTTCCAAGATTTCCTTTATCTTCATTATAGCTTCTTCCTCAGAAATATTTTTTCTTCTTGGACTTTGTGTCATTAGTATTGTGACTAAATTCATTGAGCTCTCCCCTTGTTCTCTCTGTAGGAAATGTGAGAGACAATTGACCAATATTAGTATACGTTTGTATTAGTAATTTATTCAGAATTCAATAAACAAACATGATTTCCGAACCTATAAACTTGAAATTCTAGATCATCATCTACTTACTCATCAAGATTTTGTATTGTTTACCATAGGTATAATGGACAAGTTGATTTTTTTGACATGAAGAGAAATTCTAATATTATAGGTGTGTTCGATACATAGGAAAATGACTTTCTCACTGATATATATATATATATGACGATGCTTACCCAATATCACGTGAAAGTTATCTTGATGAGCCAAACTAAAATTAAAACAAAAAATACAAGAGTTGTTACCTTATAGGTCTGTAAATCATTGAGGAGCCTCATGAATATACCGGCACAATTGCATAAATCATATATTTCATCACTTTCTAAAAGATCCTTGGAGATGTTTATTCCAAGATAGTATTGTGTTGTAAGAGGAACCAATCTTGAACCAAATGTTATAGAAGTAACATACAAATACTCTTCTATGCTTGGCATTGTCTTACTTGTCCACCACTCTAGTCGTTCAATCAACATGCACTTCATCACTTCAAGCCACTATTGAAATTCCGAGATAATAGACACGGAGTTTAAGAAAGTAAACTAAAAATAATTGAAATATGTTTTCTGTTTCAATTTGTAATTTGCCTTAATTGACTAAGTATACAATTTAAGAAAGTAAAGAAGATTTTAGAATTTTGTGGTGTTGAAGTAAAGATATACGTATTGTATTAAAATGTTATTTAATCAGTTGTGGTTGTAAAGATGTCATATGACATAGTGAAATTAAAGAGTAACAAATTAGAAATAGACATTCTTTTTAAAACAAACTAAAAAGAAAAGTAAAGAAGATTTTTGAATCTTGTGGTCATAAATAATATGTTGTTTCAAAATGTTTTTTAATCATGTGGTCTTAAACACGTTACCGTGAAATGTTGAAATGAAAGAGTTGTCAAATTAGAAAAAAAAAACTTTCTTTCTTAATTAGATAAAAGAAATTAAGACAAACTAAAGTAAATAAGATTTTTGAATCTTTTAATCTTAAATTAAAAATACGTTTAACAAATCAAAATTTCCTTTAACCTTATGATCTTAAAGACTTACATATGACGTGAAGTTGAAAATTAAAGAATTGTCAAATTAGAAAAGACACATTTTTTTAAATGGACTAAAAAAATAAATTAAAACGAAGTGAATATAAAAATATGTTAAAGAGGGAAGTTAGAGAACAATTCCCTTACCAAATTAATAAGATGATTTTTGACAGATCGGCCTTGTTTAATTTCAGCAATTGTTGCAAGCTCCTCTATTGATTTATAAAAAACAGAAAAAAAAACTTTAACCCTCTCAGAATTATAACCTACACTTGCATAGTCATCCCACCTGTAAATAATAATCGATAAACTTTTAAGTGTTGAAACTAATTTTATGAATACACAATTATGTGATTCGATAAAAATATTGGAACTGTTAATAAGTACTCCATTTGATATGTTTAATTAAAAAAATGTTGATAAGCTATTTTTTTTGTTAGAATAACTAAAATATCCTTACAATTTTATTTATTTTTAAAAGAAAAAGAAAGGGAGGAACGATGAATACAATGTAAAGAGGAAGTTAAAGAGTTTTGTTTTAAGAAAAATCTCTTGAGATTTTAAAAAATACTAAGGACTAGATAGTAAAATAATTAGTTATAACAAAATGGCTTATAAGCTGAAAAATCATAAATTGGGGATGATCTGACTTTTGACTGATTATATACCCTTAACTTGTAAATATTTTGGTGCTTAATTACCAAACCCATAAATAAACTAAAAATGCTTATAAGTTAGTTTGACGAGCTTATAAGTCGACGAAATACCTTTCTACTAATTCAATGATGTTGAGCAATTCATCTTTAGATGCAAAACCATCGAAAAGATCATCGACCATGGTCAGGAGCATGCCGTATTTTGCATACATGAGACGTGCATCAGAGAATTCAGGGTCGGAGACAACAGCAATGCTCATTAAGTAAGTAGTATATATAAATTGTTCTGAGAGTCCAAGTTGGTCCAATCTGCAATCTTCAAACCACCTACATTCGTATACGTAAAGGTGTTTGACTTCACATGAAGTTTAACAATAAAAAAGACTTTCTTAAAAAATTCATCATCATCTTGGCATTTGTTGTGTAGCCATTAGACGAATATTTGTAACCCTCTTATTACTATAGTGAAGCAATTCGGATCTTGTCGATCCTGTGGTGGTTACCTTCAGTTTGAAGGATTTTTCCACGTCAAACTTAGTGTTCTTTATTTTAGAATTTTGTTTTCATCTTTTCGTCACAACAGTTATAAATATTTGTATGATTATAAATCATTTTATTAAAAATAAAATGAATTTTTTTTATTTAATCATCGCTAAATGTAAGAAAAAATATCATATTTCAACGGACTAAAAAAAGAAGAAAAGTATCAATCTATACCTCTTGAGTTGCTGAAGTTCTTCTCGGTGTTGAGCTTGGCATAAGTCAAAGTCGTGTATTGAAAATATTAACAAGTCCTTATTGTTAATGTTGGGTGACCTAACAGAGAGAAAGACTTAAATTAGAATTTGCGGGCCATAATATATAAATGTGTTTTTAAATTTGTCTTTAACGGATATTTATGTCATTCAATTTTGTGTGCACGCATGAACTTAAATTTGTATAAGTTGAACAAATAAACAAACGTGTCCTACATGACCGTTAGTATGAGATACACTCGAGTTGATTTGTATTATGTCATGTAGGACGCATATTTAACCTTGATCGCAACTTGATTGGAATCTTGGATTGTGCTCGTTGTCTAGCCAGCCTATTTTTGTTGCTCTTTTCATTGAAGACCTCTCTAATTGATTGCAAAAACTTCAAACCTCACATCTGAGGGGTTTGTCCACTTAATTTTGATCTAACCCGTCCAGTTGACACATCTAATCTCATATCTTATCCCGACATCTATAGAGTTAGAGTACTTATCGGTTTTTTTATAACATATATAAAGTTACATTGAGTATATGACACCAACTCAACAAATGCATGATATATGTTAGTTATATACATTATTATCATGAAATTATTGATTCATACTCCATATATTCTTCCCTTAATTTATCACTTCACTATAATAAATTAACATAATTAAACGTAAATACAAATTAAAATGAATTTACAAGTGATAATGATAGATAACCATACCTATAAGCTGCTTTTAAGATTTTAAAATTGTTCTCTTCGTATGACTTGATATACCTCCTATTTTCTGCTCGATCACATGTGGTATAAAACTTCCTCAAAGCAAGTTCCACCTAATATTTCCCAAATTAGTAATAGCAGAAAAATATAGTTTCGATACATAAAATATCTTGTATTTACATATAATTCAAGGAAGTATTGTACCTTAAGAAATGAGATTTAGAATATTATAAAATTACTCATTGTAATGAAAAAATAACTTTAACTACTATTTATATCATCATCACTACTACTCTTGATCATGTTGTCGAAAAAAATGGAAATGGCTCATCTTAAGCTGAATTGTCTTCAGGCTTATACATTTGGGCCTCAATTATTTCTAACTTCTAATATATTCAGAGAAGGAGTCATATTTTGGTGTAACTAGGACTCCTCATGTAAATAATCTACCTTGTAACTATCTTCAGTATTTATCTTTTAGAGTTTGTATTTATCGTGAGAGATTCTTTTTGTATAAATACACAGCTTCTCTGTAGAGTCGAGGCATCAAGAAATACAAAGGAAGATTTCTACTTCAAGTTTTCTCTTTAATTATTTTCATGGTATCGGAGCTTCTGTAGAAGCATATTTTTTTTCTCTTTTCCTTCTTTGCCATTCTTCCCTTTCGATCAAATCCTGAATCATGACTAACAATACTATCGATTCTACTACAACACCAATTGTTGCAGAAGGAAGTTCAATCACTGTTGCTTCCTTACAAATAGATCCTTGTCACCCATATTTTTTTGCCTCCTCTGATAATCCAAGGATGGTTTTGCTAAATGCCACTTTTGATGGAACATTATGGAAACTGGCGCAAGGGTGTTCTCATATCACTCTCAGCCAAGAACAAACTTGGATTCATAAATGGAACTTCCAAATGTCCGGCTGAAGATTCACCACTACTAGATCAGCGGAAAAGATGCAATGACATAGTCATTGTTTGACTGCTAAACTCCCTCAGCAGGGAAATCTCTAAGAGTGTACTCTACTCTCAAACAGCCAGGGAACTTTGGATTGAGCTTGAAGAGCGATATGGATAGGCAGATAGAGCAAGGCTTTTCCAATTGCAAAGCGAACTCAACACCATCAATCAAGGTACTAATGATTTAGCAAGCTACTTTACCAAACTTAAAAGAATTTGGGACCAATTGAAACTTCTTAACACTTTTATGATATGTAAATGTGCTTGTGATTGTGGAGCTAAGGCCCATAACATGAAAACGAATGAAGATAAGCAGTTAATACAATTTTTAATGGGTCTTAATGATGCTTTTACTGGTGTGAGGGGAAACATATTGATGATGAAGCCACTTCCAAGAACTGCAGAAGCTTATTCTATAATCTTGCATGAAGAATCTCAAAGGGAGGTTCATTCTAACAATTCTCTTACTACTGACTCATATACTTTTATGACTTCTGGACAAAAATGGACTCCAACTAAGAATTCCGGAGAATACAGGGGAACTAGATAAGCAGGGAATGTTGAAAGTAAGAAATTTGAATTGTTCTATAAGTACTGCAAAAAAATCTGGGCATATGAAAGAAGATTGCTACAAACTTGTTGGCTATCCTGCTCACTTCAAATTCAGCAAACCAAGAAAGGGAAACTTTGGGAATCATCAAGCTAATGCAGTTGTTGATCAAGACTTCACTCTACCTAATTCCTTCAAGGTAAAAGTGAATTGTGTGGGAAGTTTGCATCTTACTCCTAAACTTGAGCTTCATAATGTGTTTTATGTCCCCACTTTCAAACATAATCTACTATCATTTTCTCAATTGTGTGCTCAATTTGATTGTGATCTAATCTTTTCTAAATCTGTTGGTACCATACAGGCCCCTTTTTTGAAGAGGAACCTAGTTCTTGGTGATGTAGCAGCAGGACTCTATGTGATGAAGAATAACTCACCCCATATGAAGCTCCTTCTTGAGAAGTCTTTAGTTCCAGTTTCCTTGCATTCAAGTCTATGTCTAAGTCTATTTCTTCTAAATTAAAAGGTCCACAGGGTGATTTTGTTTGTTTTTTGAGTAATGAGTGTACTGAGCTTTCTAGTACTCATATCAATAAAATGTTCATGTTCTTTCTGCATCTTCTACAACTCTTTTATGGCACAATAGGTTAGGGCATTTGCCCCTTCATGCAATGAAACACATAAAATAATTGAACTTGAAGCAAAGTGATAAAATGGAGTTACCTTGTTCTATTTGTCCTATGGCAAGACAAACCAAACAACCTTTTCCCAAAAGTTCTATTAGCTCAAAGCAATGCTTTGATCTAATCCACATAGACACTTGGGGACCTTATATAAGACTCCTACCTACAAGGGAGAACGATATTTTGTTACCATAGTAGATGATTTTTCTAGATGTACATGGACTTTTCTTCTGTCGACCAAATCTAGTGCATTTCCTACTTTGCAAAACTTCTTATCTCTTGTTGAAAGACAATTTTCCACTAAGGTTAAGGCTATAAGATCAAATAATGCTTTTGAAATAGGGACAGGTCATGATCCAAAATAATTTTTTCAATCCAAGGGCATTTTACATCAATCTAGTTGTGTCGAAACACCACAACAGAATGGTGTGGCTGAGCGGAAACATACACACCTCTTGGAGACATGTAGAGCTCTATTGTTTCATTCAAATGCTCCCAAAAGATTTTGGGGAGATTGCATACTTACTGCCACTTATTTAATCAACAGATTCCCATCTTCCATTTTGAAACAAAAATCTCCCTATCAAGTTTTATTTGGGACCGTCCCTACCTATCAATCTCTAAAACCTTTTGGATGTCTTTGTTTTATTTCTACCCTTTCTAGAAATAGGAATAAACTTGGCCCAAGAGCTTTACCAGGAATATTTTTGGGGTACCCCTTCGGAAAGAAATGCTACAAAGTTTTGCTCCTACAAAACAAACAAATCTCTATTTCTAGAAATATTAAGTTTGTTGAAGATGTTTTTCCTTTTTCTTTTTCTAGTCCACTGACTAAACTATTCCCACAATGGTTTTCCACCTCAGAAGCCGATGATGCGTTATTTTTTAAGAAACAGTCTCATGTTTCCAATGACAATGATTCTTTACTGTCCACTCCACATTCTCCTCCTGCATCAGATTCTCTTCCTATTGAGTCTCCAGTAATTCCACCAGTTATATCTTCAAAACAAAGTACCCTGCTGCGTACATCACAAAGGATTTCTCATAAACTAAGGTATTTATCATATTACATTTGTGCAAATTCTTACTCTATGATTTCTCCTAATCATCCTTCCTTTTCTTTACATTGTTGCTCTTTCACTGCTTTGACTCCATCTATTCAGAATTTGGTTACCTCTATTTGTCAAATATCTGAGCCTTCTTCCTATTCTCAAGTTGTAATGCATCTTGGTTGGAAAATTGCTATGGATAATGTGTTTGCTGCTTTACTTTCTAACAATACTTGGGACATAGTTGAATTACCACAAGGGAAAAAAAGGCATTGCCTTGCAAATGGGTGTACAAGTAAAGTTGAAATCAAATGATTCCTTGGAGAGATTAAAGGCCAAAAATCCTATTTTTCATGAACGAACAAAGCATATTGAACTTGATTGTCATTTCGTTCGTGAGAAACTTTTTGATTGCTTGATTTCGTTATCATTTGTTCCATCTTCTTCTCAGTTAGCTGACTTATTCACTAAGGCTCTAGCAGGGCCTGTTCATCGTTTTCCATTGAACAAGTTGAGTGTCCGATCTCCGGGCATCAACTTGAGGGGGGGGGGGGGGGGGGGGTGTTGTCGAAAAAAATGGAAATTGCCCATCTTGAGCTAAATCGTCTTCGGGCTTATACACTTGGGCCTCAATTATTTCTAACTTCTGATATATTCAGAGAAGGAGTCATATTCTGGTGTAACTAGGACTCCTCATGTAAATAATCTACCTTGTAATTATCTTCAGTATTTATCTTTTAGAGTTTGTTTTTAGAGTTTGTATTTATCATGAGAGATTCTATTTGTATAAATACACAGCTTCTCTGTACAGTCGAGGCATCAAGAAATACAAAGGAAGATTTCTACTTCTATGTTTTCTCTTTAATTATTTTTAGATCATGTGGTGGCCGGTAGCAAATATTATCTTTATATACTTCGTAAGTTATAATTTCAACATCCCATTCTATCAACAATCCTAATGACATGATAGGTTTAAAATCATAAGTTTCAGAAAATATTCTTTGTCGTACATGTAAGCCTTCAGTTTCTATAAACTATAGGGTTCAAAAGTTATATCTTTACGTTCCCAAACTTTATGTACGATATAAATTAAGATATACAAAATAAAATACCTCTTTCTTTGACATCCTATCGATGAAGCCATTGTTCAAGAGTTTTTGCTCCAAAAAAGTTCTTGTCCAATTGTTAATTTTATCCAAAATGTCATCTTTCTCATGATCAATAGCCAACTGTGATGCTTTGTGGAGTTCAAGAATTGCAACATGACTTGAATATTTCCCACTTGTTGCAAAGAAATGTTCTTCAACCACAAATTCTGCTAGTTCATCTGCAAATTAATTGAATTCATTAAGGCAAACTACTTTGTTGTCGGAGTTTTTAGGGTTTAATTTCTCAGATGTTAACTCAGCTAATCAATATTGTAGTTATTATCTTAGAACGTCATATGTTTTCTTGATTTCAATTTTCTTCAACAACAAAATTGACTTTCTGAGAAAATAACTATTAGTAAGTGATCATCTGAGATATCGACTCGAGTTTTTAGTAACAAACCTGAGGAGACATCATAGTAGCTCATCCTTAGAAATCGAAAAGCCATAGCACAATGGGTGACATTTGAGAAAATTTCTTCATTCTTTTGTTGCCATAGCCTATAAATAATTGACATTATTATAATATACTATAGGCTTAACAAAATCGTAAAGGTGAAATACCTAGCTAGCCCCTTAAACTTAGCATAATTTATAATCTAGACATTTTAACTTTTTTACTAATCAGATAAACACTTTAACTTAATAAAAGCGTATTTTTTTATGACGTTGCAAATAATGTGTATCAAAGACATTCACAAGATGCACTTTTGTCAAGTTAAAGTATCTATTTGGTCACGACAATATTAACATCATGCATACATTAACTTATACTATCTAGTTTAAAGGGCTATTTAAATATTTAGCCAATTATAAATATGATTGTGATTAATTAGATTTAATTTACCTGTATATTTCATCTAGAACTTTCTTTATCTCTGATTTAAAATGCCGACGTACTCCAAGATTTTGAAGTGTATCAACCAAGCAAAGCAATGAATGTATCTTTGTTGGATACATAGTGGGAACTATGAGAACATAAAGGGCCAAAAAAAATGTTAGAAAGCAAAAAACAAGATTATTAAATGAAACAGATAGAGTGATTTTCATATGCATAACATAAAAAAAATAAAAAAAATAAAAAAAAAGGAAAAAGGACAAATATACCCCTGAACTATAGTAAATGGTATGCAGATACCCTCCGTCATACTTTTGGGACATTGGTGTTCCTGCCGTCCAAAAACTAGAGCATATATACCCTTTATACTAACGGACATACACGTGTCATAATCTTATCCACCGATCTGACATTTATTAAATATCGGATCGACGGATAAGATTGTGTCACGTGTCCCTATTTAGTCTTCCGTTAGAGTAAAGGGCATATATGTTCTAGTTTTTGGACGACAGGGGCACCAATGTCCCAAAATTATGACGAAAGGTATCTGTACACCATTTATAATAGTTCGGGGGTATATTTGTCCTTTTTTCAAAAAAATAGAAAGAAGCTATATTGATCATGGTACATACCCCAATTTTTGTGTTGTTGCAAGATTGAATTAAGATATTCATAGCATTTTTTATCATGTTGATGATAAATCAAGGCAGCTGCAGTAGTGGCTGGTGAATCAAATAATGAACCATTTTGTCTTTGATGTAACTTTATTATTTCCTTCCAATCACATAATTCACCAAGTCCTTCACCCATATATTCATCATTCCTTGTGAAATTATTTTGTAAATGTTTAGATATATATAGTCAGAAAGTAAGTGTATAAAGGTGTGTTCGGTGGGAAGAAAAATATATTTTTAGAAAAATAAAATGAAAGTATATTTTTTTGTATTTGATACGTAAGTAAAAAAAATATTTGTATATAATTTTAAAAAATATTATGAGAAATGAAGGTGTGGGGTAGTGAGGATGGGACTACAAGAGTGTGGTGAAGATGAGTTTTTGTTAGAAATTAGGGAGAACAGACTATTAGAAATAGAGGTTTTTGTATTGCGAATTAATGAGAAATTTGTATTATAAAACGTGATTAATGTTTTGACCTCATTCCCATTGAACCAACTAATGCATGGTGGGAAACAATTTTTTATTGAAAGATTTGGAAGCTTTTTAATTTTTCCTTGTGAAAACACTGTATATATTTTTTATCTTCTTACTAATTTAATCAAAATATTATTGGGAATAACCATTGAACATTTTGAGTGAGAAATTCCAAAGAAAAAATAATGATTAGTGATACAATCAATGTAGAATATATATATCACTTGTGGAACTTATTTTCTCTATTTTCATTAATTAAGGAAGTTATTTTTCTCATTTAAAAAAACATATTTTTTCTAGAAAATATATTTTCCAACCGAACATGAAAAAATTATTTTTCCTCCATGCCGAACACATAAAATTAATTTTTTTTAAAGTAATATGAAATGCGTACCTTTTAATTGTTGAATCTCTTTTGCAATTCACCAAATTTACAATAATATCATGATCCAAAGGCAAATTTAAGTTTAATTTCTCTGCAAATTTGATCATAGTAGAAAATATAATTTCAAATCCTAGAGGTGAAATTTGATCCTTGCTATCTACTGCCCAACCATACGTTTCAATGAAGCCAAGACCTGAAAGAAAATGAAGGAACTCTTCAAGTATATAATAAAATTTATTTTGGAAATTTTTAAATAATATACCGTCCAACATAATTTATTACAAATTGTATTCGCGGAATTATATTTTTAGTTTATACCTGCATATATTACCAAAAGTAAAGAATTTTGCTGCAATAATGTATTATGAGTATTTATAATCAACACTTTATATAAATATTATTAAAGAATTTAGTGACTCTGGATGCAAGGACATTAATTCAATTACTATTAAATATTTTTATGGTAACAAAATTGTCGCTAAAAGAAATGTTTTAGTGGATTACCAGTTTACCACCATATCTCTATTACTATAATTATAATAAAATAAAATAAAAAAACGGAAAATTACGTGTTGCCCATCTCTCGTCTCTCCCTAGCGGCAGGTATTTTGTTTTGTTATTTTTGTGACAAGAAGGAAAGGACACATAAAATTCAATTATTAAAAATATTTTTTGTTCAAAATATTTTTCCATTGTTAATTCATTTTAATTGTCGTAATTATTAAAAATTGATCAAGATAATTATTATTTTAAATTATGAAAATATAATTAATTACCCTCTTAGACCATTTTATTTGTCATATTTTTATTTAAACGTTTCCTTAAAAAATGTGTTTTGATTAATCATTATATCCTTGTTAATTATCTTCAATTATTTAAAATGTTAATAAACTATCTTCAATAAATATTTTTAAGAAAAAGGATAAATATACCCTGAACTATCATAAATGGTATGCAGATACCTTTCGTCATACTTTTGGGACATTGGTGCCCCTGTCGTCCAAAAACTAGAGCATATATGCCCTTTACTCTAACAGAAGACTAAATAGGGACACGTGGCGCAATCTTATCTGTCGATCCGATATTTAATAAATGTCAGTTCGGTGGATAAGATTATGATACATGTATGTCTATTAGTATAAAAGGTATATATGCTCTAGTGTTTGGACGGCAGCGGCACCAATGTCCCAAAAGTATGACGGAGGGTATCTGCATACCATTTACGATAGTTCAGGGGTATATTTGTCCTTTTTCATAATATTTTTTTATAGCTTTAATCTCTCTTCAATAAGAGAATTAAATATTAGTAATCACAATATTAAAATATGTGTATATACTTTTCATTTATGGAAATAATGTATTCATTTATGTTTTGATTTTCTAAAATTACAACTATTTTGGGTCATTTATTTTTAGTAAAAACGACAAATTATAAAGTGATCCGTTTTCACCTTTACTCTTACTCTATTAAATTGAGATCAAGATTAAATAATGATAATTTTGTTTAGTTAATATCTTCTTAAAAAATATGTAGAAATAACTATGACAAATAAAAATGAACAGTAGGGAATAACATATTAGTGATGACTTGAACAAATAAAGGCCATTTACCTCTTTTGATTTGCTCATCTCCAACTCTCCATTTGCTTAATGCAAGCAAGCATGCAAGAGTGGAAGAAAGTGAGTCCTTGAGAAGCAATGGATGGCTAGGGTTTAGTCCCCAAGATCCATCTTCTCTTTGATTTTCAATAATCCAATCCAAACATTGTGGAAAACATGGCTCATTTAGTGAATGTTTTGAAGGGACCATAGCTACCCATGCTGTGTCATAGGAAGAAGGAGATAACTCTACTTTACCAAAAGTTTCCCTTATTCTCTCCCTTGCATCTTCAAAACCATCCTGCAACGAAAAGTATATTCAGTGTAATTTTACAAGTAAGATGGAAAAGATATAGTGTGTACGTTTGACTTTTCCTCTAGTTTGAGATATAGGGAGGCTGTTTCTAATGGACTGTCAGACCAAATTAAAGTAGTTCGAAAAAAAAAACAATGGAAGAAAAGAAGTCTAAGACAAAATGATGTTAAAAGAATGACAAAGTGTACTAAAAAAGAAACAGTCACTGTGACAAAATAATGGAAGTGCAAGAAATACTATGTAATAACAAGAATCTCCTCACTAATGCCTTAATACTAACTTTATTATGAGTTTGATCATTCGAATCAAATAGTTTTGTCTTAGATTTTATATTTGTTAAAAAAAAATCAAAAAATAAGTATAAATAATAAATTTCAAACAAATAGATTATACACAATGTGGTAGAGAATTTCCAACCAGAATTCATAAATTTCAAACAAATAGATTATACACAATGTTGAAAGGCGCGTGAAGCAACTTACCATTGATGGAGTGGTACTGTGGCTGCATCTTACTCTACATGATCTCTGGAAAATTGCATCTTCTTTCAACAATGATGCAAAGAAAAGGAAAAAAGGTAAACTAAAGTTAATTATGGCATGGTGTCACAAAAGATAATTAAATTTGACTTATGTAAATGCTACTTCTTGCAATGATAAAAACTATGTGTCTTACTGGATGAAATTGTTTTCCCATTTCCTAGTTTATGATGAGAAAGGGTTATGATTGTGCTTCTATAGCCAACTATCATCCTTGAATATTGTGTGTTGTTTTTGGGAGTGGAGGTGTCAAAAATGAAGAAATTTCTTTAGTTAGCTATCACATTTATGGAGATGAGGGTCATTTACATTTTTCTCGTATTTTGTGTTTGTCTTTGATTTTTATTCCTCATTATAAATAATTTTTTAGCGGAGAGAAGTATTGAAAACATTTCTGAATTTAGTGCAAATTATTAGTTCCGTCCCTCAATTATTGATAGCCTTAAAAACAAGGGAAAATTGTATAAAATAGCAAACTATTAATTCAAATTAAATGTTATAACCACAGTTTGATTTAAATGTAACCCGTAGTAAACAATTGTCATTCGCCTCTTTCAATTCCCTGAATTTCTCGCTCGCCACTCCCCATTTCTCGCTACCAGTCTCTCCCTCGCTTGTGTTTTACGTTTGTGTTTGTATATATAAAGCGAGAGAAAAATGTATATATACATATATTTTCGTTTGCCTCTCCCTCCCCCAGAGAATCTCGCTCGTCACTCTCCCAGATCTCGCTCGCCTCTCTCACTTTATACAAACACAAATGTATAAATTGCCTTTGTGTTTGTATAAAGCGTGAGAAAATTGTATATACAAATACAAATAAACATATTTTCGTCCTATACACTTATTATTATACAAATACATATCTTCCATTGCCCAGTTTTCTTTTGTTTTTCTCTCTTCCTCGCTTTATACAAACAAAGATTATACAATTGCTCGCTTTATACAAACAAAGATTCACTACTAGAAAACTGTAAATTACCTGCGAATTTTACTTGGGGATTATTTCTGCAGAAACATCCTACGAATTTTCGTGCGGAAATATGAAATTCCTAAATTATAGACTTTTTTACCTGCGAAAAATAGTTTCCCAGAAAAATTGGTGGGTAAATTTGGCGCCATTTTCGCAAAATTATTACCTAGGGAATTATTTGCAGAAAATAATTTGTAAGTATTATTTTCATAGGTAAATTCGCAAGTAATAAAACAAGGATTTTTTTTATCTTCTAGCAAGAAAATTCCTAGATAAATTTATTTGCAAATAATTACTTCGAAATTTATCTGGAAATATATGTGGTATTATCTGGGGATTCATGTTCTGTGAATTTTGTTGGGGATTTACTTAAGAATTTTCTTACTTGAAGAATTACTTGGGGATTCTATTGTTGTGAATTTGATTTGAGATTTTTTGAGGGATTTACTTGGAAATATGCAAACTTGAATATTTTTATATAATTTAATTGGAATTTTTTTTATTGAAATCTAAGGATTTTTGAAAATTAGGAGTCCTCGGGGAATATTTTCTTAAAAATATATTTACCAAAATTAAAAAATATATAATAATATAAAAGGGACAAATGATCACTAGAATGAAATTTATTTTTAAATAATTATTCTATTTTTAGGTTTAATAAATTATTATGCAATAATATCAATTTAATAAGGTGCTGGAACATTATCATAAATTTTAGGATGAATATTTTTAACTCATATATAATTAATATTTACTCTCACTAAACATCAATGTTATTATTTTTTAATTTTTTATTTGAAAGAAACAAAGAATTAAAATTAGATGGCTAGTTATTTATCCAATAGAAAAATAATTATCATAAATATTTATCAATCTAATATGGTGTTGGAACACTACCATAAATTTTAGTATGAATATTTTCATATAATTAATATTTTTTTCTCTCTAAAAATCAATGATACCATTTTTAATTTTGATTTTTGATTTGAAAGATACAAAGATTTAAAATTATATGGGTAGTTGTTTATCTAATAGAAAAGTAACTATCATAAATATTTGTCAAATTAATACGGTGTTGGTGCATTACCATAAATTTTAGGATAAATATTTTTAACTTATATATAATTAATATTTCATCTCACTAAAAACCAATGATACCATTTTTTATTTGAAAGATAGAAATAATTAAAATTATATGGATAGTCATTTATCCAACATAAAAATATCTATCATAAAAGTTTAATTACCCCTTGTTGATAGAATTATATGAAAATAAAAATAAATAATTTTTACTTGTAAATCCAATTGGTATATTATATTTTTACTAGCATTAAAAATAAAATAAAAAATCTCTATAGTAAGTATATAAATCAATTATTGATTTATAACTCCCTTGCACATTAAATTTATAAATATATTTATATTTTCAATTATTTATTTATAAGAACTTTGTATGCATAATGTAAATTTTGTCTACATTTAATATACTTCGTTATATATATATTATGTCATAGAAAGTGTAGCATAAAATTTTCATGATATGTTGGGTGGTAGTGATTTATTTTAATATATAAATAGTTTTCATGCTTTATTTTTGAAAAGCTAAATCACATGAACTTTCCTCAACATTTTAAGATATATTTTTATCTCATATTAATATGAGATGACTTTATAGTACTTTTTATGTAATGAATATCTAAATTGTATTTTTAATACTCAATTAATTTAATTAAATTTAGCTTTAAAATTAATCAAATTGAAGAAAAACAACAAAGTTTAGTGTAATGCTAGTGGTACTTCTTACCACATAGGTGGAAGACACATGATTTTTAGCATTTATAATGCTATTAGTTAGAGCATTGGTAGAATAGAGTAATTACATATAGGTTGGGCATTGGGTAGTGGGCTAGGATTAAGTTAGTGCAATTAAGTAGAGTGGACTAGGATTATGTTAGTGCAATTAAGTAGAGTGGACTAGGATTATGTTAGTGCAATTAATATGTGCCTATGCGTATGGGGTGTCCTAAGTGTATGGGGTTCAAGAACAAAATAATTAATTAGGTAGGAGATACTAATTATTAATTAATATTGTCAAGAAAAAATCTTTTTTGTTAATTTTTACAAAAACAAATCGGTATATTTTTTTTGTAAGAAAATTCCCAAGTAATTTACCTACGAAATATAAATCCCTAGGTAAATTACTTGGGGATTTTAAAATTTGGAGGAAATAATTACCTAGGAAGGTTTTACCATCGGATTTTTTTTGGTAGGAAAATCCGCAGGAAACTTAGTTTCTTGCGAATTTTCATATGTAATCCCTAGGAAAATCCCCATGTAATTCACATTTATCTTGTAGTGATTATACAATTCATTCTTTTGTATATGTATATCGAAATATACATATTAATAGTCATAGCAAACATAAAGTTTGCTATGGACCGCAATTATACAAACTATAGTTATTGCATACAAATATGATTTTTATGTTTGCTAAACCTAAAAGTTACTCTAAAAAAAACGACTAACTGAACTTAAAATACACTCCAGTCTACCACATGGCATATCAAGTGGTCTCAAACTCTAGTAGGAGTGTGAGACTCTTAATAAAATGTCAAAAGAAGTGTTGAAAACATCCCTAAAGTTGGCAAAAATATGAGATTGTATTTCACTGATGTGGCAAGATCAAGGGTGTGTTTAAGTTCAATTAGTCAAGTAGAGAGTGTTTTTAATAGGGATAAGGATCTGAAAAATACGCCAACTTTGGTCGGATTTGCTGTTGCAATACTAAACTTTCATAAGGACCTATTACCTCCCTAGACTATTTAATTCCGTATTTTTTTACCCCTGAACTATTTAATAGTGTATTTTAAAGGTATATATGTGCCCACGTGGACACATTACTATTTATAATTTTGCATTATTTTTTATGTCCACGTGGGCAAATATATATGTTTAAAATACGGTATTAAATAGTCTAGAGAGGTAATAGGTCCTCATGAAAGTTTAGTATCGCAACAGCAAATCCGACCAAAGTTGGGGTATTTTTCAGACCCTTATTCCTTTTTAATATTGTCAATAATTTGGAGACAAACCTAATAATTCACACCAAATTTAGAGCTATTTTTAAATACTTTTCTTTTTATATTATAATATCTCACTTTGATATAAACTTGATGTGTAATTAAATGTAAAATTGCACGTTTTGGCCTATAAATGACTAGTCTTTAATTTTATTTGTCAATCATTGCAGCATATCTTATTTCATAGTAGAAAAAGTATATGAGCATTATTACTCTTTGATTCATGTGGACATCATACCTTTTTGTTAGAAAATGTTTCACCTTTTATAATGTATTTTTTTAGTATAAATTTAGAATTTATTTCAGCTTTAATATAAATATCAAACGTTAAATAAAAAAAAATATCGAGAAAATAAAGCATATATAGTATCATATAGAATCTCGTGATAAGTTTTGCTAGTTGTTGGCCATTACGTGGATAATTTTTAACAATAAATGATCTCTTTATTTTGTTTTCTTTCTTATTTTTGACAAAGAAGCAAGTATGTATTAATAGTTAATTGAAATTGGTGAGTTTAAAATTTTGACTTCCGTTTAGCCCATGAGCAAACCTTTAAAGTCAAATTAAAATTAAAAATTGTTGATTTTGAATCATGTTTATGAATCAAGCGAGATCAAAAGGTCAAAATCAACTGCCTCCCAAATAATTTTTATAAACTTGAGATGATTTGGAATTTTTTTCATCCAATAGTTATAGACTTTTCCAATGTCATGACAAATAAGTCCCTATTATTAAAAACTTGAGGCAAATTCCATCTTGTAATTTATGACTATAGTTATAGTTATCTTAGACCCTTAGCTGCGCTATAGTTAGACTTGATAACTATTAAAAAGTGTGTGACTCTTATATTCACATACGACGATTCAATAAAATTGATGATCTAGAAAGCTAGATCATGAAAAAATTGTAAAAATAATTGAAAAACAATAAGAATATTTTGAAATATCTCAACCCTACCACAAGTTTGTACCAACCTTATAGATATGAGCTATATGACACAAGAAAAATACATTTATGGTAGGTAGTTAGGGGTGAATTAGAATTGAATTTTAAAGTGAAAAATCAATGGATATTGGATAATATCTTTTTCCTCTTTTTTTTACCACTAAAAGTGCATTCATTGTACACCAACACATTAAATAGAGTTTTATGACATCCTTTCCACATGCATGGTCCCTCATTTTCTTCCTCATTAATTAATAATTTCTC